GGAGGTGGGGAGTAAAGGGAGGAGGAAGAAGAAGGGAAGAGAAGGAAGGAACGAGGCAGGGAGGGATGGAGGGAAGGAAAAAGGAAAGAAGAGAAAAGAAATGTTCAAGCCAGGTCTAAATGGTCAATGCAGACTATGTCCCCCTCCAGATCACTTGTCACAGTGCCCAAGGCCTCCCACGACCGGTAAGGCTAGGTGGCTTTGGCCTGATTTCACATCTTTTCCCCTTCAAAAGCATCCTGCCCATCTTTTCTTTTTGTTTGTCATCAGTCCGAGACTCTTCTCACGTGTCATTTTGCGATGGTTGTCTGGAAACTCAGGAAGTATCTGTACCCTATGTTTGTCCCTCCCTCCCTTATTACATCTGAGGATGAAGAAATTCTAACTCTGATCCTGGAGGGTGATAAATAAAGATCAACCTGGTACTTGTCTGTTCTTTTTTTTTTTTAAGATCTATTTATTCATTTGAAAGTCAGAGTTACACAGAGTGAGGAGAGGCGGAGAGAGAGAGAGAGAGAGAGAGAGAGAGAGAGAGGTCTTCTATCCTATTGTTCACTCCCCAGTTGGCTGCAATGGCCAGAGCTGCGCTGATCCAAAGCCAGGAGCCAGGAACTTCTTCCAGGTCTCCCACATGGGTGCAGGGGTCCAAGGACCTGGGCCGTCCTCCACTGCTTTCCCAGGCCATAGCAGAGAGCTGGATTGGAAGTGGAACAGCTGGGTCTCGAACTGGCTCCCATATGGGATGCTGGCACTTCAGGCCAGGGCATTAACCCACTGCGCCACAGCGCCAGCCCCACACTTGTCTGTTCTTGATACTGTTGTTTTTCCCTACTATTCCCCTACTAGAATGTAAGCTCCCTGTATTCCTATACATTTTCCATGTATGTCACCATGTATTCCCAGAGCCTAGAACAGTGCCTAACACATAGTAGAGATTCTCAATAGATACTGTTGAGGGGAAGGTGTCTGGCACAGTGGTTGAGACACCACTTGGGCTGCCCACATCCCATACTGGAGTGCATGGGTCCCAGTCCCTGTTCTGTTCCCCATCCATCTCAGGTTCCCGTTATTGCACACCCTCGAGGGCAGAGGTAATGACTCAAGTAATTAGGTGCCTGTCCAAGCCATGTGGGAGACCTGGATTGAGTTCCCAGATGCCTGCTTCAGCCTGGCCCAGTCCTGGCTGTCATGGGCATTTGGGCAGTGAACGAGCAGATGGGAGATCTCTCTTTCTCTGTTTCTCTGTCTCTGTCTCTCTGCCCTTCAAAATAAATAAGTAAACAAATATTTTTAAAACGCTATTGGATTAGTGAATGAAAATGAAAAAAAAAAAATACATGGTTTGCTAGTAGAATAGAAACTTCCTGAACTACAAATGCTCTTGAGAGCTTTCCTTCAGAATCTCCCAGAAAGCCTCACTTATCTAATTAAGCATACTCTTTCTCAAGCAGCAGCATTCAAAATATGCCCAGATGTATTTCATAAGTGTATCTCATAGTCACTTTTTTTTCTGATTTCTGCCTAATTGCTTGCATCACAACAATTTTGCTTTCTACTATATTTCACTGGTAAACGTACCACACAATGTCATTAATGATTCATCAAATAGGAGTCTTTGGGAAAATTTATAAATCCAATCAGTAGTGATGCACGTTTATGTTGGGAAAATATGCTCCAAGTTGCAAACAACCATCTTACAAACTGCTATCTGAAATGTAACCATTGTGAGTTAGTCCTGAATTTTGTATTCACTCAATACTTTACAGTGAGAGAATGGGTTCTGAGTTGTAAGAACTCTTCAGTTGCCTCCTATGTGGATGCTTTATCTTTCCAGGTGTTTTGTAAGCCCCACCCCACTGAGGGCAGGGATCACACTTTTCTACCTTTGTTCTTCTCTTCATGGCATCTAATACTGCACTAAACTCCGTGACCAAATGTTGAATTATCGATTTTTATCTAAATGCAAAATACAACACGAAATGATGAGCCCAGAGACTATTATTTTTGCAAAAGATAAAATATCAGGCATTCAAGACACTCTTTAGTACTTAGGGTCATTGCTGTTGAGAGCCAGGTTAGAGACCACATTTTGTTCAGGCTTGTTAATCATTGCTTCTTGTCGTATTTTCTTTCACATGACGTTTATTAAAAAGAGCAACAATAAATCATAATTATAAAAATATCAGCAGCATAGGTTTAAAATATTTCATTCTTCATTAATTATATGTTCCCTCTTCCTCTTAAATACATCATCAGGGAGAATTATGAACTATTATGTAAAGAATGTTACTTGAGTTAAGGAGTTAGGAAGTGAAATAATTATGCTTATTTATTTCAAGACATTTTCCAAATGTGAGGTTAAGCAGTCAAGAAGAGTAAACAGAGAAAACTTTCATTTTTGATCAGAGGACAAAGAAATTTAGACTTCCTCATACTATACTTCCTTCTGTGACAATGTATTAAAATTACATGGGATCATACCTCCTAACCTGTGTGAGAGTTACATGGGCATTCAGTTTTAATTGTTATTTAAGCTGTATTAAACATGTATTTTATACATGTGTCTGTATGTATATGATATGTTTTACCACCAAAAAAAAAACATATTAAAGAAAAATCAGATTCAAAGAGGTAAGCATTTAATACTTCATACTGATTCAAAATCAAGGACCAAAAAAAAAAATCAAGGACCAGTGGGGCTGGCACTGTGGCATAGTGGGTAAAGCCACCGCCTGAAGTGCCAGCAGACCATATGGGCGACGGTTCAAGTCCCGGCTCATCCACTTCCAATCCAGCTCTCTGCTATGGCCTGGGAAAGCAGTAGAAGTTGGCCCAAGTGCCTGGGCCCCTGCACCTGTGTGGGAGACCTGGAAGAAGCTCCTGGCTCCTGGCTTCTGGCTTCCGATTAGCTCAGCTCTGGCCATTGTGGCCATTTGGGGAGTGGCTGGAAGACCTCTCTCTCTCTCTCTCTCTCTGCCTCTCTGTAACTCTGCCTTTCAAATAAAATAAATAAATCTTTTAAAAAAATCAAGGATCTGTATAAACCATTCATTTTTGCTAATTAGCATTCAGAAAGGAATAATAATGTAATGTTCAAGAAACAGGTAACATTTGTATCCAGAATGAAGTGTCCCTTGGAAAATAAAATTAATGATTTCAGTATCAATAAATACAAAACAAGCAAAAAAATATCTTGCCCATTTAAAAAGATTTTTTAAAAGGACATTTTGGGGGCTGGCACTGTGGTGTAGCAGGTAAAGCTGCCACCTGCAGTGCTGGCATCCCATTTGGGCTCTGGTTCGAGTCCCGGCTGCTCCACTTCCAACACCGCTCTCTGCTATGGCCTGGGAAGGCAGTAGAAGATGGCCCAAGTGCTTGGGTCCCTGCACCCATATGGGACACTCGGAGGAAGCTCCAGCCTCCTGGCTTCAGATAGGCACAGCTCCAGCTGTTGTAGCCATTTGGGGAGTGAACCAGCAGATGGAAGACCTCTCTCTCTCTCTCTCTCTCTTTCTTTTTCTGTAATTCTGCCTTTCAAATAAAATAAATGAA